TCATGGTGAGTGGCAGGACCAGCTGGCTGGTGGCTATGGTGGGACAGTCAGGGCACCTCTGGAGTGTTCCTAACTGCAGGGCGCGCTGGCTGTACCACCAAATTACCTGGGGAAATTCTTCAAAAAAGGATGCCGGGGCCTGGGGTAGGTCCACACACCCAGTCGGTTTCAGAAGCTCCTCCTAATACAGCGAGGAGCTGTAGCTCGCCCGAGGTCTGAAGCGCACTATCCTCAGGCTGAGTCCCCACGGCTGTCATTCACAGTGAAAAAGACTGTGCCGCCCTTAACCCAGCTGTGAAACTCACACGCAGCCACAAACCACTGGTCACCCAGTGCTTTGCTACTCAGAGTGGCCTCTGGACCAGCAGCACCAGCATCTCCTGGGGGTTTGTTCGGAGTGCAGAATCTTGGGTCCATGCCCCAGACTACTGAATCAGAATCTGCATTTAAATAAAATTCTATGGGATTCACATGCACATTCAGAAGCCCTGAATGAATGAATAATGAAGATGCACGCTCAGTGCACACTGAGTATCTGAAAAATGTCTGATAAAAAGTGGAATTTTTTATAAGAAAGCGACAAAGAGGGCCCTCCTGGTGGCGCAGCGGGTTAGGACGCAACACTGCAAACCAGCCACAGCCACTACGGTGCACGTTCAATCCCCGCCCCGGAGGTGACCCACATGGCGCAGCAGACCTCTCCTGTCTTACCCGCTGCTCCCCTCAGCAGTGTTCTGCTCCCCACTCTGTCTCTGGTGAAGCCTCTCACCACCCCTGCCCCTCTGGCCTGTACCCCAGTTCTGTATGCATAAATAAATAAATCTTTTTTAAAAAGAATGCTACAAAGAAAAGGATCACATGAGACAAAAACAATACCTTTGAGGTGTGGGATTGGTGATAAGGGTTCGCTGACACGCCGAGGACACAGCACTGTCACGGGTCACAGGCTGGGCTCCGTGACATGACAACGCTAAGTGGCTGAGAAGTGCTGTTTGTGCTCTCCTGACTCTCCGTGCCTGCTCCCCATGTCCTTGCTCATGGGAAGTGTACCCCAGCTGGACAGGCGGCCCTTATACATCAGGCAGAGAGCGTGTAAGGGGCAGAGAGCTCTCCCCTTAACCTCCACACTCCAACGTGGACGCCCAGGTCGGAAAACATCCAAACCCAGCTGCCGGGAGCTGCATTCGGGGGGCAGTTCATAGCCCGGCTCCTTTGCAGCCAGCGCCACTAAGTGGGGTCCAGCTTGTGAGCAGAGGCCAAACTAGCCACAGGAGGGGCATCTCAGAGGCCACTGCACGGAGCCAGGGACAGGCTGGGGATAGGAGGCAGTGAGCCATCAGTGCAGGGGCTGAGTATGAACCTCGGATGGAGAAAGGGGAGAGAAGGCCTTAGGGGCCTCTCTGAGGAAAAGGATACAAATCAGCTTTGCCAGAAAATGAAAGGCTGAAAAGGCCCTTCCCATGTCCACGGCTCTCTTTCCTGTACCTGTGTGTCTAGGGTGGTGAGTCGCTCTGGGTTACACTGCCTGGCCGCTTGCCTACCCACCTCCTCTTCGAGCGGAGCAGCAGACCTCGGGCGGCCCCAGGGACGGGCGGTGCGGGCTCCCGCTGCTTGGAATAGGGGTCTGTAAGGAGTTTGGAGGTGGCATGCCAGCATAACCAGGCTGTCTTCCATGGGAGCCAGTAGGGCCTTGAATGGTGAATCAAAGGCCCAAGCAAGCAGCTCGAGGCCTGGCTGGACACCCTTCAAGCGGCCGCCTCCTTGGCTGACAACAGCTGGGGCTGCAGTGGAGGAGGGCTTAGGAACCTGGCCAGCTTCCTCCCATGGAGGAAAGTGAGCCCCGCTGCTTCTGGGGAGCCCATACTGCCCTGGACTGCACCGGGGCCCAGAGAACCCAGTACCTTCATTTCCACACACTCATCTCTCATGATCACCAAGAGGCCTCCGCTGGTAGATACTGAGATGCCACACAAGGCAGAGTTGGGCCCACCTCCCCCTGTCCGTGGTCCCCTGGGGAGAGGAGCCATGAGTGCCAGTACCCTCCCACCACCGTGTATGCTGTGCTTCCTGGGTGAGCTACCACCCCTCACTGACGGCCAGCACCTAAAGTCCCCGCTGTGTCTGCTGACTGGCCTCTGCCTTTCCTCCCAGCCTGGTGCCTGCAGTGGACACTCAGGACATGCTATCAGGGTGGCAGGACATTTGTGGCTCCAGGGGACAGGTGCAAGGACAGGAGCACAGAGCAGGGCTCCCTGGAGAGCGGCGCCCAGCGTGACCCAGGTCATATGTGCAAGTGGCCCTGGCAAAGACAGGCGTGAGAGTGTCCACTCCCCGCCCAGTAAGTAGGAGGTCCAGCCTGGAGTGGGGGAGTGGAAGCAGATGTGGGATGACAGCTCATCTTTGCTGTCATGGTGGCATTCCAGATCTCCTCGACTTACCGTGGGGTTAGTGCCGATAACCTCATCATGAACGGAAAATGCATTCATGAGCCTAAACTAGCAAACGGCACAGCTGAGCCTTGGCCACCTTGCGCCTGCTCGGAACATTTCCACTAGCTTACAGGCAGGCCGCGTCACCCGACACAACGCCTGCTTTCTAACAGAGTTGCGTGTCTCCTGGTAAGCTACCGAATCTTTCCCGAAAGTGCACACCAGGATGGTTGCATGGGTTTGCACCACGAGCGTGGATCCGGATCCACCTGGGATCTGGAGAATGTTCAAAGCATTGAACAAAGATCAACTGCTGGATGGTGGGGATGCGACAGAGACAGGGGCATCAATTCTTCTCTTCTGGGAGGCTCAGAATAGCTAGGAGGTTGTTTGCCCTCGTGATCTTGTGGCCAGCGGGGCCTGCCACTGCTCAGGCTCCCAAGGGAGTACATACGGGGTGTCCCTGGCTAGGGAACGGATCAAAATTCAGACTGTGGAATACGGTTCTTCCTGAACGCTTGCTGCTCTCACAGCGCTGTGAGGTCAGTCAGAGGTAAGTTGAGCCATTGTAAGCTGGGACCTGGTGTACCAGGGTGGACCAAGACGTGCCAGGTGGTCACGAACTTCCCCAGAGGGAGCTGTGGGACCAGGCTCATGCGGATGGTGACTGAGCCCTGGCTTTTAACTTAGTGTCCTTTCCAGGCGCTAGTGTTTGCCAAAGTGTTGTCTCTCAGCCCACTAATTCCACAAGTCATCAGCTAGTGCAAAGAGGGCTTCATTGAGTTCTACGCAGCCGACCGAGTGCCCTTCCTGAGGTCCCCTTGGCTGGTGGAGAGCGGGGTAGGGACCACAGAGACCCCTTCTCGGCTGAGTGTTTCCCAGGATTCACGCTCTGCCAGACACTGGTGGGCAAGGCCACGCTAAGCGTGGCTGCTGGAAGGCTCTGTGACCGGCATGGCCCCTGAAGCCAGCTACCCTTCGGCTGCCTTGCCTGTGCCCTGCGTGCGTCTGGAGCTGGCTCTGGCTGCATTACTTGGAGCTGGCAGCCATTGTCTGGAAGTCTTGCCCCATCCTGTCCTCCAAAAACGAACAAATGCAAAGGCCAAAGGCCAATCCTGCCCCTGACTCCCCTCTGCCTGGCAGTACGAGGCAGACAGGCTGCTCCCACCGTCACCCTCCACTCTCTCCCAGGACATTCCGGGCCCGCGAGGAACATGCCCTATGTGCAAATCCCTCAGGTAATGCGGGAATTCGTCACCAGGGGAGCGAGGGCGATCCAGGAATGGGAACCCGATCAGGGCCTGGAGTTGGAGAGCAGCAGCCGGCAGGCCAGGCCAGAGATGGCTCGGGTTGCAGTAAGCAGGCTCCCCGGGAAGCGGAGGAGCCTCAGGATGGAGCCTGAGAGCACGTGGAGGGCCTCCTCCTTCCTCCCTCTGCTCCAGGGAGGAGACGGCAAGCGGCAAACCAGGTGGTTAAGACCAGGATGGCGCCCTGGGCTAGGCTGGCTGCCTGGACGTGGTTGTGAATAACCCTCTGACTCTCAGAAGTACTGTGTGTGGTGTGGATGGTCACCCAGACAGCACAGGCCTGCGGATGCTCCACACCTTCTGAGCATTAAGCTGCCATTTTATCTGCACTGGAAACGAATTGTGTCTCAGCTGTCTAAGGAACACAGTGGAGCAGAGGTGACTTTCCTTGCTCAAAACTCTCCAAGGATGGCTCTGGGTACTGGCCTGGGTGCCACACTGTACCACCTGCTACCTCTCCCTGATGCCACTCAGACTGTGGCCTCCGGTTCACCTGCTACCACCCATGGCAGAAGAGCTGGTATTGGTGCCCGCTTCCACTGATGACCCACAGGGCTGGGCTCAGTCCTGGTCCACAGACCCACACTCTCCACACGCTCACACAGGCAGTCATCGCTGGACACTGGTTTTGGTGGCGGAGGGAACGAGAAGTGGGGTTAAGCTTCCTGGGGGTGGAGGGTTTTTAAGTGGGAAGGCACCAACGAACAGTCTTAGCGCTCCACACTTCCCCGGTACCCTGAAAGGGATTTCAGAGAGAGCCCAGTGCCCCAGCAGACAGGCTGCCTTGCCTCTCTCCTGCTCCAAGACCTCTGCCTCCTGCTCAGACCCATCTCAGTAACAGCTACAGTCAACCGCACCACCGCCAGGGTCAGGGAGGGCACCCAGGGGAGGGGGAGGGCGACAGAGAGATCCGCAACAAGTTCCTGTCTGCTCAGACTTGAAGAGGTCAAAGCACAGAGTATGGTTCAGACCAAGGACCAGTCCTCTTATCATGGAAATAGAAAGAGGGAAAGGCTGGTTAAACACGAAGCACCTATAAAATTATATTGGTGCATCGTAACCATGGAGCGCTAACACAAACACACACAAATCCGGCCTCTCATCTCCTGCCCCTTGAGTGCCTTTTTCTTTTCTATAATTAATCGGGCAAGGGTGGAACTTGGGAAAAGTTCAACTGTGGTCAGAATTTGCAGCCTTCTCTCTAGTAATAACCCACCGACGGGGAGGGGCAGGAAGGGAGGCGCAGCTGTTGGTGTCCGGTTACCTGAAGCATGTTGAGGAGCAGGCTCCGGAACTTGGTCCCCTCCACCATGAAGAGCGCCATCTTGTCGCAGAGCTTGGCTGCGGTGAAGGCGAAGCTGCGGTCGGACACGGCCTTCTGGTAGATGGTCCGTACGATCTCTCCCAGCATCTCCTCAGAGTTGGTGGAGTCCTGGGCCTCCTCCATGAAGGTGGTGAGCTTGGCGTCCACGTCGCTGCTGTTGTTCCGCATGCTGTTCAGGATCTCGATCAACTTGTCCATCTTGCTGTGCTGAGGGTTGGTCGTCTCCACTGTCACTTCATCCTAGGGGTATGAGAGACAGACCCGTTGTGCCTGAGTGGAGCTGAGTTTCGATGACGGAGTGGCTGGTGGAGGGAGGCTGGCCATCCCCAGGGAGGACCCACCCTGCAAGGCTGAACCTGAGGTCTGGTTCCCCTGGGCATGCTGACCCCCCACTAAGAACCCTCAGACTCTAGAGATCTCTGTGACTTTTTCTTGGCTTCTAAGACACCCTGGGCGTATCCTCTGGCAAGTTCCAGCTCTTACCCAGGATTCTCACGTAATTCTGCCTTGGCCTATTGTCCATCAACTGTTTCACTATAGAAACTTAATGAAACATGTAGAAGAGGGAATAGGATCCCATAATAAATGGCCCAAAGAGAGAGCGATGCGGGAAGACTAGGTCAGGGAGAGATGGCATCTCTCCCTGGTTATGCATAGAACAGGTGCAAAAGTATATAGAATAATAGCACATGCCTGCTGTGTGGGCTAGAGGCAGCCTGTAAGGGCGACCCTGTCCTCTGAGTACAGGGCTCCCGGCATTTGTGGCCCTGCTCTGTAAGCTATGGACACTGTGCTGATTTTTCCACACAAAAACACTATATATCTTCTGCAGAGGGATCCCCGGTGTGCCACTAGGATGGTGGCACTCGAGGAGGGTGACTTCAGACAAAATCCCTGACCAGGCCTGGCTGGTCACAAGTATTCACGCAAACACAGCAGACTGCTGGCCAAGAATTCCATCTACTGACTGCTGGGATAGGAGATCAAAGACAAGGTAGGGGAGTCAGAAAATAGAGTCTTGCACCTGGCTTCTTCACAAGGAGAGCTCTGGGGGAAGCCTGGGGAGGGGCTCAGAGCTCGCTTCTATATCTCACTGTATCACTTTGGGCAAGTGGTTTCCCTCGCTGAGCCTTGGTTCCCTCAGTGGTGACACAACGGGATGAGACCAGCTGGCTGAGCTTCCTTGAACCCTTTGTTGCTCAAACTCTGCACTTGCTGGTCCAGGAGCCTTCTGTGAGGGAGGGCGTGCAGCCACCTTGGGGATGTTAGGGATGTCCTCACCTGTTCTGTCTACCCCCTTATCCACACTACTCCCCAGACACCTGGTAGTTATGCATAGAACAGGTGCAAAAGTATATAGAATAATAGCACAGAATACTAAAAATAGTATGTATATAATTAGAAATATATAGAACAGTAACTGTGTGTAGAATAATAGCTACCCACGAAGGCTCAGAGAGGTCAGGTGACCAGCCCAGGGTCCCCTTGCAGTCAAATGCAGAGCAAAGACAGAGCCTGGCTTCCTGCTTGCTGGTCTCTGCAGCCTGTGTGGCTTCCATGCTGCAGCACCGCGACAACACTTGTAGAACTGGAGAGATTAGGTAACAATCCTCCTTCCCTGGCCAAGCTACCTCAGCCTGCCCTGGAAGCATTTCAGGCAATGACCACACACTGGCCATCATTCAGGACCCTCTCCCAGGCTTGGGACGTGGGGAAGTGAGGGAGGCTTTCCTTTACAGCGGGGGCCCCACAGGGCATGGTGGGAGAGGGTTTGGGCTGTGCAAGACTCAGGAGCATCACGGCAGCTTCCAGAGTTGATGCAGGAAAATCTGTGATCTGCTTTGTCCTGCCTGCGTGTGGAGCAGAGCCTGGGCTTAGGGGAGAACAGTTAAGAAGGCAGTGGAGAAAGCTGGGAGAGACCCCAAACCTCAGTGCTACAGAAGCCCCAGATGGGGGTTCCGGGGGCTCTGGAGGCTGTAGGAAGAGCTGGGGGCAGATCAGCCTTTCTTGGAATTGTTCTCCAAGGTGACTTGACCTGCACCCCTGGGTTGGGGAAGGGGGCCCTAGGGTGAGCATGAGGGCCTCGATGCTGCAAAGGCCAGATCCCCATTCCTGTGTTTGAGGCTTGGCGGTGCTGGGGGGCTGCTTATCTCTTCTTGGGTTTGTGAACCAGACTCTGGAGACCAGGACCAAGATCAGGGTAAAGAGAGAAACTCCCCTGGGAGCAACATTTAAGGAAGCGCTCACTCTCGAGCCTGCCCACACAGAGTCAGCACTTGTGTGACACAGTGAGGGCCTCCTTAAACTTTGTCCCTGAGCTGACCTCTTTGGCAGATAAAAGAGGGCAACAGCAAGGCTGATGCCACCTGCTACACCCTGCCCAACTCACCTTTGCTCTGAGCCCTACAGGGACCAACAGCCCACCTGGTACTTACCCCGGAGAAGCGTCCCGTCCCGTTCCTAGCGAGGAATCTGTTTCCTCCACGTGCCCCTTGGCACTAATTGGTGCTGATCCCGGGAGAACCCGGCCTTCCCTCCACTCCTGTCACCACCTCACCCCCAGTCCGCTTCCTCCCCTGATCTTCCACTGGGGGACAGTGTCAAGTGCCCCGAAGAGGCCTCTTGGGGAGGGGGGCTGTCAGGAGAGGAGCCAGACGGTGCTAGAGTGGTGCGTGTGTAGCTGGGGAGGGCTTGCCCTCCGGCGGAGGGGTGACATGGGCCCGCACAGCTGCCACAGCCCTCGCTGCCCTCCTCAGGGCGCCCCAAGCCCTCCAACCCAACCCTACCTACCAAAATGCCTACCTCTCGCTGTCCTCCCCGGTGCAAGAGAACAACGAAAATTCAATTACCGGTACCTTTTCTTTCAGTCTTCGCCGCAGCCTGTCTTTGGAAGACTGGAGCAGGGTAATTTTGGGCCGCTCCCCGAGGCGCTCGGGAAAAATACTGTCTTTACGCTTGCTCTCGGCCTCCAGGCCCCCTGGCTGCTGAGGGGGCAGCCTTTCGGAAGCCTCCGGGGCTGGGGCCTCGGGACTGCGGGGGGGCTCGAGGCTGCCGTGCCCGGCGTCCCCCAGGGCGTCCTCAAGTTTGGGGTTCTCCATGGTCAAGGTCTCTTTGGCGTTGCGGTGGGCGCCTGCCTCCCCCTTGTCCCCTGGTGGGTGCTTCGTGTTGCTGTGGTGCCAGCGTCGGTTCTGGCTGTAGCCGTGGTGGGTGGGCCTCCCTGAGGGGTGGGGCGCCGAGCCGCCCTGGTAGGATTTCTGGTGGTCCCTGTTGTGTTTGGCAGTACCAGGCTGGTGGTCTCCATGCTGCTGGGACTTGTTCCCTCCTGGAGGTCTCTGCTGCCGCCTGCAAGCCAAAGGGGGCAGACAGACAGGGTCACCGGGCAGGCCGCACGGGGCGCCCCTTTCCCAACACTGAAAGAGGAACTCATCAATTCGTTATATTTTCTATATTCCACACACCAACCGAGAGCCTCCTGCCACAGGGCCCGAGGACAGCAGAGGATCCGACTGACAGGTCCCTGCGATGCTAGAGGGTTTACGTCAACCCTCCACTCAGAATAAGACTTTAGCCGCTTATTAGAATACGCATGGATACAACAGAGTCAAGCAACATCAGAGAGACACAGAGCGTGGCGCCTCTGTCCCCCGGCTGTCTTGACACAGCACCTGCGACCAACGTGGGATCTTTCAAACATATTCTATGCATGTTCCAGCAGAGATACCCACAGATTTACATCTGATCGTGACTTTTTACCACCATGATTCTTGAAAAGCTGTAGCATTTGAAAAGCTGTGTCACTCAGCACTGCTGATGCTTCCAGGTAGGTTCATTTATCAACAGCTCAGTCCTTTTTATGGCTAAGTAGTATTCTGCAGTGAGGACATAGCAATGCATTAAGCATCTGCTCACGGAAGGACATCTGGGTTGTTTCCAATTCTTGGCTATTATACAGAGAACTGACAGGAGTGCCTGTGTACCACCCCACCCCTTCCCGCGTGCCTCAGCTACTTAGTTTCACTCTCAAATGCTTTTTTAGTCAAACACCAAGGATCATCAATGGCACAATATTTGAGGTTCTGGGGGAGACGGTTAGTCAGCAGTCACACACGCCCGGAAAACTAGTCAGAGGGGGGCCCCATCAGCAAAGTGAGTCCCTCCCAAGGCTTCTGTCACTCACTGGTCTTCAGATGGCTCAGATCTAAACCCCGATGCCTGAGACATGGGTCAGCCTTTGGCCTCACCCTAAGAAACACAGACCACACTGGGTGAACAAGCAAGAAACACCACTGCCCCCCCCCCCCACCGCCCCAGGCCCCAGAGTGCCTTGTGCCTGTGACTTTCTGTGAATTCTCCCTACATTTATTTTTCAATTACTTTAAACTAATTGGCTCTTCCTCCTTCCTTTCTCTTTGTTCTTTGAGTGTGAGTAATTTTGAAGCCCAGAGAAGGACCTTGGAAATTCCCTGGCAGATAATGCCTGATTCTCACAACGTTTGTCAACCTTATTTAGAATTTTTGTGGTGCCTGAAGCATCGGCCCAAGGAATGTCCCCAAAGGCAGGCTGACCAAGCCCTTCCCAGCATCTGTCTTGAGAAGTTCTTCCCACGTGCCAAAGCAGGGATTTCCCTTTCTCTGCCTGACATCCTCTCCCCCCTCCCAAACAAAACAAAGCAAAGTGGGGGGAAAAAACCCAAAAAACCTTCTCTCCATGTGGAGGAGGAAGAGGTCATTTCTACATGGTCGGTGGCCAAAGGCTCAGAAAGAGATCAGCGAGGTGTGCAGAGGTTCTGCTGTCCATTCCTAGAAATTTTGGGGACCTGGGATTCTGCCTCCCCCTGTTTGAAAGAGCCCGGGTCGGCCAGTCCTCTTAATACAGCAGTGGGAAGGCTGGGACTTGTTCCCTCCAAATCTCTGGCACCAGGAGGCCTTCTCGACTCACTGCCCAGGCAGAGCTGCTTCGCTTAGATGGAGAGGCCCCTGGGGTGGGCAGGGGGGGAGACCTGGGGTCCACCCGCAATGGGCCTCCTCCAACTGAGAGCAAGAGTAATCATTCAAAAGGAGGCAGGCTGATGTAGAGCTGGGTGGCAAATGAGACTGGCTGAGAGCCTGAGGAGGCAAGAAAGAGCTAGACGCCACTGCCTGTGCAGGTCTCAGGGCCAGTGATGGCTGGACAGGTGTCTGTGCGCAGGCAGGACCTTTTCTTCCCAGGCGAACTGAGTCTCTGTGAGGCGAAGCTCCACATCAAAGGCCTTGAAGAGGCTCTTGGGAGTGTGTCCAGCCTGCCTGCTGACCCAGGACCCACCTCCTGTCTGTACCATGCATCCTCAGAGCAGGGCACTAGAGAGAGGACTGCACAGCCTCTAGACCTGTGTGGTGTGGCCACATGAGGCTTGTGCCCTTTGTCTGGGAAGGGGCTGAGAGGGCCCCAACCGCTGGAGCGAACTTGGGGCTGGGCCGTGGTCCCGCACAACGGAGACCTGGGCTTCCTTGCTTTGGTCCTTCACAAATTTTGGTTAGTGGCCCCCAGTCAAGCTGGCCCAAACCAGCTCTCTCTGTGCTGTGTTTGCTGGCGCTGGGTTTCGTGGGTACCTCCCTGCAGGGGCCAGCTGGCTGTTTACCACAAGACCTGTGGGTTTAGGTTTGGCCAGGCTGGAAGGGGGCTGCTTTTGCTCCCAGCAGCAGAACAGGAAGCCACATTTGGTCTCAGATACATGGATATGTGGGTCTAGGTTTTGGAGACGCCCTGGGCATGTAGTTACGCGGCGTCACCAGTGAAGGGGCAGCACCCCATCGCTGCTGGCTTACGCCTAACCTCTCGGGGGAGCTTTCTCCGGTGGTGGGGTCAGGGGGAGGGGAGGGACAGCTTAGGAGATAAGATTAATATTCCACTTGTGCTACTGGCAACACCTGCTGTTAGGGAAATAATGCCTTTTTTTTTTTAAGAATGGAAATTGTCAGTATGCTTTTTCCATCACTCATTTAGTTGATTCTTTCTTCTTTGGGTTCTGAAATCAGATGTCTTGTTTCACTGGAAAACTGCTCTCTTTTAATAAAAAAAAAAAAAAGTTCTCAGAACACCACAGCTGCATTTTGGGAGGTGGGAGTCGGGAGACTAACTTCAGATCTTGTTGTAAAAAATGGTTTGAACAGCAGACAACGACTCTCTGTTCATTTTTTTTTTTTAAATTTTATAATCGTTCCCAACTAGATATTCTGAGGGCCACAGACTTCTAATGGTTCTCTCCATGTCGGATACTTTACCACATAATTTGTAGGTCTGCTTAAAAATTTCTGGAAGCAAAATTCCTAGGGCAAGTGGTTTTGAAACTATGCATTGGCTCATATTTCTTGCCTTCAGGAAAAGTGATGACTGCTTATTACGGGCTGAGGCGCCTCCATTCCTGCCCCCCTACACATGCCTAGCGTGGGTCCCCCCTTCCAGCTACAGGGACAAGGCAGGAGCGAGGAGAGACCCAGGTTGAGGCTGTGGAGCTAAAGGTTGGTATCTGAGGTCTGCAAACAATGACCATCACACATGGTCACCCCGGTGTGCAGACTAACTGGGAAGCTCAGTGAAGGAAAGCATGGAGGAGACTCACTTCTATCTTCCTGGAGCCAACAGAGGGAAGCAACAGGACCCTGACTTGACACAGGGACAGGAACACTGTGCTCAGTATTAGTCGAGCACCTACTATGGCCTTGGGCCTTAATTAGCTGATGGAGCTCCATCCAGGACGCTCCTCCCTCATGTGTCTGTCTTCAAGCCTGCGGCCAGTTCGGAGCCTGGCTTGGCCACTCACAGTTGTGGCTCTGAGAGATTTCCCCTCTCTGGGTCTCTGCCCCCAACTCAAGGGTGGCTGTGAGGATTGCACAAGTGACAGTGGACAGTTTTACAGATGAGAAAACCGAGGTTTAGAGAGGGCGCTTCCCTCCCCAAGGATTGCCCAGCTAGTCAGTGGCAAAGCATCAGAATCTCTGAGCACTTTAAAGTGCTTCAGGCATCAGGTGAGGAAAGTCTCTCCCTGCCCACAGGGAGCAGAGGAACTAAACCCTCCCACTTGAAGCACTTTATCATTTAACAGTCACTTGTCTGAGCACTTGGTGCTCTCTGGAGGACTCCAGGGTCATCACCGCAAAGTTGAGACAACCGAGTCACTATAACTGCCAGCATGGACATCACGATGTAACAGCAGCCGTCACCAGCAGCTGGTGTTCCGAGAGGCCCACTGCGCGCCCCAACACGTGCACGGGGAAGCTCCTGAGCCTCGGAAGGTCAGGCTCTTCCCCTCCAACAGACCACGTGACTCTCCTTCCACTCAGAGTTCGGTTGGAAATAATTCAAGATGGAGAGCTGCGCCAGCGAAGACCAAATGTCCAGCAAGAAGTTGGTTGTTTTGCTGCATGGACTGAAACTTGAGAAACCAGATGTGTTCCTAGCCTGAGGGATGCTGTGGAGTGGAAGTGGGAGGGTTTAGTTCCTCTGCTCCCTGTGGGCAGGGAGAGACTTTCCTCACCTAGAGCTAAACTAGAGCGTGATGAAGAAATGAAGGAAGGAATGAGTGATGCAGGAGAAGGTCGGTTCACGTACTGCTCCGTTCATTACACGCCTTCTGAGATATGGGTCTGCCTGGAGTTAGTAGAGGCCTCAGTGGGCCTCCTCTCCCTAGGTCACACAGCTCCTGCAACAGAGGCTGCTAAGAGTGGGGATAACACGCCATTCAGTTGTTCCCAAGGAGCCCTCAGCACGGCCCTTAACCCCTCTCGTGCCTGTAGGCCCAGATCTGCCCAGAAGACTCCTCTGTTCCAGCTTCCCTCTCAGGCTTGCTGTCTTCATAACTCCTAATCTGAAGGCTTGTTTGTTCCCACTGTCTGCCCTCAAAAGCATCTACTTCCTTTGAATGGACCAGAACCTTCTATAAGTCTCCCTCAGTATTTAGGAGTGAGGGCACTCACTCATGCCTCAAGTGAGGCTCCAATGTGCCAGGGATTGTACCAGGTGCTGGGGACAGAGCGATGACTCGGACACAGGGCTGTATGTGCCTTGGGAGCTTAAGATCCATTCATTGCCGTAACAGGTGTCCGCAGACAGCCAGGGACAAACGTCGCCAAGGAAAGGAAGTGGAGATAAACACACGGTCTGTCTTAGTCTGGCCAGAGCACAGCTTCCATTGAACCTTAAGGAGGAGGGACATGGGGCACTTGTACAGAGAGGTCAGTGAGGCTCAGACAGGGTAAGTGCTTGCCCAAGGCCACACAGCTTGCAAGAGGCAAAGCTTGGGTTTGAATTTAAGTAGCTTGGTCTAAGAATATATGTCCACAGTCACCACACTGTTCTGCCTAAG